AGACAGTTCTCAGATGAAGAAATTAAAGCCATCTATAGTTGTATGAGAAAAATGCTCTAAATAACTATTGATTAGAGAAATACAAATCAATACAACTCTGAAGTACCACATCACACCTATCAGATTGGCCAACATGACAAAACAGGAAAATGATAAATGTTGGAGAAGATGTGGGAAAATTGGAACACTAATGCATTGTTGGTGGAGTTGTGAAATGATCCAACCATATTAGAGAGCAATTTGGAACTATGCACAAAGAGCTATAAAAATGTGGATACCCTTTGACACAGCAATAGCACTTCTAGGGTTATATCCCAAAGAGATCATACAAATGGGAAAAGGACCCACATGTACAAAAATATTCATAGCAGCTCTTTTTGTGGTGGCAAAGCATTGGAAATTGAGAGGATGCCCATTAATTGGGGAATGGCTGAGTAAGCTGTAGTATATGAATGTAATGGGATACTATTGTGCTGTAAGAAATGATGAACAGGCTGACTTCACAAAAACCTGGAAAGACCTATATGGTCTGATGCTGAGTGAAGTGAGCAGAACCAGGAGAACATTGTACACAATAACAGCCATGTTGTGCAATGACTAATATTGATAAACTTAACCCTACCCAGCAATACAAGGATCTAAGACATCTCCAGAGGCCCCGAGATGGAAAATGCTGTCCACATCCAAAGAAAGAACTATGGAAGTTGAATTGATATTTTTTTCTCTTCTGTTGAGTTTTGTTTCCTCTTTCTGATGGTTCCTCCTATTTGTTTTAATTTTTACTTACAACATCACGATTGTGAAAATATGTTTAATAGGAATGTAAATGTAAAGCCTATATCAGATTGTGCGCCATCTTGGGGAGGGTGGGGGGGAGGAAGGGGGAGAAAAATTTTGAACTCAAAAGCATACAGAAGTGATAACTGATAAATCAAAATAAATTAATAAAGAAATAAAAAGAAAAAAAAAAAAAAAAAGCAAAAGTGATTCTTCATGAGGGTGAACCAAAGAGCCTAGACATCTTCTGGCAAATTTCAAACAGAACTGAAATAGAAGAAAATCTAAACAAAGTGACAGATTATAATCAATTATTCAATCAATTAACCGGCATTTATTATGGGCATACTGTGTGCCAGGCACTGTGCTAGTCATTGGTGATGTAAAGATAAAATTGAAATAGTTCCTGGCCTCAAGGATCTTACATTCTATCAGAGACATAAACCACATCTGTATTTGTATATCCGTATTTTTATCTATATTTACACAGACACACAGGCAGACAGATAATAGATAGACATGAATACTGAGAGAAATTATATTCCTTATTCAAAGCCCAGCCTTTGAAGGACATTACTGACCTCAGCCAAAAATTTTCCCCATGTAGACCATCTTATCTAAGGTGAATTCCTGACCATTGTGTTCCACTCAAGCAAGTCTGGGTGGAGGTAGATCCTTTGTCTAGGCTAGAGCTAGGGATGGTCTGGGTGTAGAGACAGTCTATTTGTCCAACTGTGACATGATGTCCCTCTCTCAGTTACTCATTGGAGTGAGCCTACTTCTACTGTAATATTCATTCTCTCATTAATTGTTAACCAATCAGAGTTGACTGTCATCCTCAGGAACACTCACTCTTTGAAGGGCATATAAACTGTGAGCCCAACACCACGAGGGGTCTTTGACATTTGAGAGTACACTAACCTCTTTTATTAATAAAATGCTAGCATTAATTTCCCCCCCAGGCAATGGGATTACATGATTTGCTGGGGTTACATGGCTAGTAAGTGTCAAGTATCTGAGGCCAGATTTGAACTCAGGTCCTCCTGACTCCAGAGTTGGTGCTCTATCCACTTCAACACCTAGCTAGGTGTCCCTAGCTAGCTAGTGCTAATTCTAGCATTATTCATAAAATAATTAATCACACAGAATTTATGTCTCTTAAAGATTTTTAGATATTACAACACATATACATGTACGTATGCATAAAACAAATATGAGGGGATCTTGGGGTGTACTGGCATCTGGTGATCAGGAAAATTTTACAGAAAAGAGTTAAAACTCTTCATTTTTAAAGAGAAGTATTTAGGACAAGATCTTTCTACCATCAAACTGTCATTTTAAAATATCATATAAATTCTTGTGCATTTAACTGGTTTCCTAGGTTAATGAAAAATGCTATTCTAGCCAAAAATACCACAGACAGTATAAGAGAAAGTATAGTTGACTAGGGTTTGGGCCCTGATTTCATCACATATTGATGTGTAACCTTGGGCAAATCCCTAAATCTCCAGACCTGGGTCCTCACCTGTTCTGTTGAGGGTACCACTATTCTATCAGCTACCCATGTTTGCAAACTTAAAGTCATCCTTGACCCTTCCCTCTGTCTCATGCCTTTCCCACACACAATAAGTTGATGAGTCTTGTCAATTCTCTGTTTATATCCCTCAAATTGCTTTTTTTCCACTGTTAAATCTTTGACCTTGTTCAGGACTCTATCACCTCTCACCTGGCCTTATTAATCTTCCTGCTTCCAGTCTCTTCCCTTTCCAACCTCCTTCTCCACACACCTGCCAAAAGAAACTTTTCAAAGTTCAAAGATGCTTCGGTAGTTGCCTATTGTCTGGAATAACATGCAAACATATCCATTGGTACTTTGAAACCCAGTCTAGCTCCAGTTTACATTTCCAAATTATCTTAAGCTTCTCCACTTCATCTACTCTACATTTCAGACAAAAAGGTAATGCTGTGCCAGTTCCACCACATTCCATCTCTTGTACCAGACTGCCTCCATGCCTGGAATGCTCTTTCGCCTCAGTCCACCTTTTTGGTATCACTAACTTCCCTCAAAGTTTAACTCGGGTGCCATCTTACACACAAGAGTTCTCCTAATCCAAATCTGGGTCCAATTATTAGCACACACAGCTTAATGAATTTTTGTTGATTTGATTGATTGACCTTTCCAATTATTACTGCTCCCCCTATCTTGAGATAACTTTATGTTACTTTACACTTACCTGTTCACATGCAGTCACCTGCAAAGGACAATATAAGTTCTTTGAAGGAAGGTACTGGTTCATTTTTTTTTTTTTTGGTCTTTTAACCTGCAGCATCTAGCATAGTGCTTTGTACATAGTCCTCCCAATGCCTTCCTTCACAGAGGGCAGAAACTAGACCCTCAACTTTCTTCACTTTGCATCTGCTGCTCTGCCTGGTTTCAACTCCATCCCTCCCAGAACAAACTCATCACTTCTAATCTCATCCCCAATGTTGCTAACTCACTTGATTATCATCAGCCTTCTCTCTTCTCTGATTGGAGGTCTGGAGGGTGGAGTTCCAAACTTGTCCCAATTTCTTTCTTTATAAAGGGCAGAAACTGGGCTTTTCAGCTCACTCCACTTTGCATCTGCTTCTCTGCCTGGTTTCAACTCCATAGAACAAAATGCTCTCTACCTCCTTTTGTGTGTTGTCTCTCCCTTTAGACTGTAAGCTCCTTGACGGCAAGATCTGTTTTTTTTTTTTATTAATTATATCCCCAGTACTTAGCACAGTGTCAGGTATGTAGAAGACGCTTAATAAATGTTTGGCAGCTAGGTAATTCTGTGGATAGTGCAGTTGGCTTGGAATCAGGAAGACTAGTCTTTCTGAGTTCTAATCCAGCACTTACTAGCTGTGTGATCCCGGGTAAGTCACTTAACCTAGTTGCCTCAAAGAAACTGGAGAAGGAAATGGTAAACCATTCCAGTATCTTTGCCAAGAAAATTGCAACTGAGGTCACAAAGAGTCAGACATAACTCAACAATCACAACAAATTGCCTTTATGTTCTAAACACTTTCCTAGTGTTTGTTACAAACAACTAATGATAAATAGTAAAATCCTGCCACAAAGTAATAAAAATGATGGGGCATATAACGAATTTCACTAATAATAAGGAAGCATCTGGGAAATAGCTTACTTTTCTTAGAATTTAGGTCAAGGACAGAAACATAATTATCATTTTATAGGTATGCATAACCTGAATTTTCCCCCTCAAATATACATCTCAAAATATGCCTGTACTGCAGATTCCATTTGCTTTCTTAAGTGGTGAGTGTTTCCTAGTTTTGCTAATAAGTTTCAATTATTTCATTTAAATAGACACTCCTTGCCTTTACAATGTAATTTGGAAATGTTACTTTCTACAACTCGATTTTTTGCCACCAATAAAATAAAGATATACAATGAAAGGCATGAAACCTCATTTCAGCCTGTGAAGTTAGTTTTTTAAATTGTTATTTTTTGGGGGGGCGGGTTAATAGCCCTGGGTAACAAGAGCTCATTCCCCTCCCACTTTATCACGGACAGGCTTACTTCCAAGGGCCTCTGTAAACGGCTGACACTGCAATTCCACTTCACCTGGGCAGATATTCCCATATGGGGATGCACACCTAGACATGTGTGCTGCATAGGACCCCATGTGTGTCTTTCGAGCTAGATCCCATGTGAGGATGCTGGTTCGGAAGACTGCAGCATTCACACAATGTCTTCAGAGGGGAGACAGGGCCCTGCATTCCACACCCAGTGTCCTCTGTGCACTTGGGTGTCTGCCACACGCCCTCTGCTCCTGCTTCCCTTCCACACATGCTTACACCTGGGATGAGCACACGCATACACCGCACCAGCGGTTCCTGTGTCTGCATCTGGACCGCATACATAACAAACACACAATCACACACCCACACAAGTCGCACACGTGCGCGCGTGCCCAGCGACAACTAAAAGTCCCCTCTGCTGCTCCTCCTCCTCTCACTCGGGACAGGCTCCACGTGGGCACCCCGCGGTTCCAGCCGGCCGCCACCTCCCCACGCAAGGTAGTCCCACCAGCCCGCGCAGGGGGCGGGCCGCCAGAGCCCTCCGGCCAGACAGACAAAGCGGGCGCCCAATGGAGCTGGGCCCTGCCTCCCCAAAGGGAGGGAGTGGCCGCTCGGACCAGCCCAATGAGCGCAGAGCCGCGCGCGGGACTTCCTCCCGGAATCCCGTTGGCCGGAGGAGCGGGGCTGGTGGGTGACACGTAAGTTGAGTGGGAGGCTGTGGCGGCCCCGGCAGGGCCAGAGGCAGCGGTGGAAGCGGCAGCGGTCAGTCCCTCCTGGCCCAGACGCGCAGTGCCCCCCAGCCCAGCCCAGCCCAGCCCAGCCCAGCCCAGGCCAGTCCAGCCCAGCTCACCCCACCCGCGATGCGCCCGGGCTAAAGAGCCGCCAACGGACCGGGACCAGCCTCTCTTCCCCTTTGTCCTACTCTCACCCTCCTTTAGGTGGCAACAAAGTAGCGCCCGGAGCCGGAGCAGCCCGGCTCAGAGCCGGCCTGTCTGGACCCTGCCCGGTCTGAAGCCGGCCGGCCCAGCCCAAGCCGCCAGGAGCCCGAGAGGGCCGGATCCCGGGGGCACAGGGAAGCGGCTGCTGGCCGCCAGCTCGGCCCTGCGGGGCCAGGGACAGAGGGAGCCCCGGCAGCCCTCACCGAAGCATGCAAAGGGCCCCCGCGCGGGCGCCAGCACTCGGGGAGAGCGCACTCAGGAAAAGTTTGCTGCTCCGCTGCTGCCCCAAGGAGTTGGAGTTGGAGCAGCCGTGGCGGTAGCGGTGGCGACGTCGATGGCAGCCCGCCCAGCAGTGCCAGGGGGCTGAAGCGAGCGCGCCGCTGTACCCGGGGGTCCTGCGTTGACGGCGCCTCCTCCCTTCTTTCGGACCCGTACCCGATGCTGCTGCTGCCGGGTGCTGCAGCCCCCTCCTGCTGCGGCGCCTGCAGCTGTTGAGGCGCTTGGGGCGCAGAGGAGGAGAAGGAGGAGGAGGAGGCTCGGGGGGCCAAAGCGGGGACTATGGGAAACGGGATGTGCTCCCGAAAGCAGAAACGGATCTTCCAAACGCTGCTGCTGCTCACCGTGGTGTTCGGCGTCCTCTACGGGGCCATGCTCTACTACGAACTGCAGAGCCAGCTGCGCAAAGCCGAGGCGGTGGCGCTCAAGTACCAGCAGCACCAGGAGGCCCTCTCAGCCCAGCTACAAGGTACCTGGGGGGGCCCCCGGGGCGGAGCGGAGCCGGCCCCGAAGGCAGCACGTTCACGGAATGCCCCCACACTTGTGCACGCACACGTACATGTACACTCATTCACACTCTGGCCACCACCGGCGCACACACTCACCCTGACCACCAGCGCACACAAAAGTTGCCTTTCTGCCTCTGATTTAGGACACACTGATGAATGTGGTGGTGGCTGAGGCAGCGCCTTTGACCTTCAGCATGAATTGAGGCAGGAGAGTGATGAATATTGATGCCTGGCTATCTCCCTGCCTTCCTATACCTGTTAAGCAATGGAATCCGTCCCTCCCAGCATCCTTGTATTTCAAGTAGGTTCGGAGAATGCCATTGGCAGGTCACCACAAAGTCAGTCTGAGGGTTATAATGGGGTTCTTGATCTTCAGCTGGAAAGGTCCTTTCTTAAAGATCAAGTTCAAGTCCCTTATCTTTCTCAGGCCCAGAGAGAGTAAGCAGATTGGAAGTAGACAGTAAGCAGATGGGAGTTTCTGTCCCTGGATTTGAAATCTTTTGCCCCTTACATTATATCATGAGCAGAGAGATTTAAAGCCAGAAGGGGTCCTAGAGATTATCTGGCCTAGAATCCTCATTTTTCAAATAGGGAAACTGAGGCCTAGAGACATGAAGTAACTTGACCTACTTGCAATTTGGAAGTGGTCCAGCCAGGATTTGAGCCCCAGGTTGGTTGACTTCCCCCCTGGAGAGGGGGGAAGGTTTCCCATCACACCATCTTTTGCTCTCCTAGTTGAATCCCAAGTCTTACCAGTTCAACAATCGAGTAGTAGGTTGAGTTCCTGGACTTTTAGTCAGGGAGATCTAAGCTAAAATCTCACTTTCTCGACATTTACTAGCTGTCTGAACTTGAGCAAGTCGCCTGAACTCTGAGCTTCAGTTTCTTCCTCTGTAAAATGAAGAGGTTGGATGGACTCAGCCTCTTAGGTCTCTTCCAGGTCCTTGTCTGATCTTATGAAATGCTCACTCAACTATGTGCTGAGTATGCAAACACCAGAACCACACAGTCCTACCTACTCTCTAGGAGCTTACAGTCTCCTTTGGGGGAGTGAAGAGATAAAAGGGTAGGATGGGTAAATACACCACCTATCCAGATTAAATACAAGTTAAAAAACAAAGTCATCAGAGGGAGCACTAACATCCAGTGAGACTGAGCACAGCCCTTTGTTGGAGGTCCACTTTGAGTTGAGCCTCGAAAAGAGAGCCTAGTGGGTTGGATGCAGTGGGAGAGGAAGTTCTCATTCATAGCAGCACGCTCCCCATTAGACTGGCCACCCAGAACCTCTCAGACAGGCCTAGCATCTTCAAGATGTGTCTTTTTGCTTGGATCCAGTCAGTGATGTTGAGGAAATTGGGGGAGAAGAAAAGGGTCATTGCCACAAGGCTGACTGAAATTGATCTAGCTAGGAATTCAAATTTTCAAAATGATCCCCTGGCCTAAGCAAATGGTGAATCAACTATGCCTCTGGGTTTGTCTTTTCGCTTCAGTTTGTCAGTGTAGATGGATTGGAGAGGTTTGGAGTGTTTACATTGAAATGCCTATGACACTTAATGACTTGTTTACCTTCCCTCGTTACATTTGGTGCATCCCACATGGCTTATTTTCAAAAATGTTTCTTCTGGACCCAGAGTGCAATTGATCACTTTCCCAGCCTCAGCAGATACCAGTTCTAGCCACACCACAGACTCACTCAACTTCTATCTATCAATATATCTAATGGAAGTGTCAGAATCACATAAATAATGCATGAATTCAAAATAAACACTATGTATGGTAAATAGGCCTAGTGGAAAAGAGTCCTTTCAACTTTGGAGACTTTGAAAGTCTTAAACTACAGTTACTTTTAGCTGTTTCATATCAAGTCACTTTTAAGTTAAGGAGTGTGGGATTTGTGGTGCACCTTTTGACAAAACCTTTCCTGCAAGATAACTTTAAAATTACCTTCATATACTCTGCCTATATCTCATATACAGCTAGATATTTATTTACATGTTGTCTCCCCATTTGAATGTATGTTCCCTGAGAGCAGAGACTGAGATTATTTTTCCCATTTCTTTGTATCCTCGGTGCTTCAGACAGTGCCTGGCACACTTAGTAAAGAGTTTGTTCACTGACTGTTGGCTGTCCAGTATATCTTGAGTGGAGTAGAATATCAGCTCCCCGGGCCAGGCACTGTTTTGTTTAATGTCCTCATCTCCCCTGCCTGTGATTTCATGCCATGTAGTTGCTTAATAAATATTGGCTTGAATCTTGTTGAAGATTGTTATGGATACACATTAAAGCAGTGCCTTCAGGTCACTTTAGTTCTTCTGGATGCTTTTTCTAATTAAAAAAAATATTAAGGCAGAAGAGAAAATTAAACCCACCCATTTGCCTGCATGTTTGCTGTGACCAAATTAGAAGAAAGTGAAGTATTTTTAGCAAATAGAAACTTCATAGCTATAGGCACCATCCATCTGTGAGCTGGGCTGGGCTCAGAAGAGATCTTGCTTTTTGCATTCTGGCTTTTAACTGTTTCTTTTTTCTTTTTTAACTGGGTGAATTGACCCACGAGTTATTGTTGGTATGAGAGGTAGGGATTTATTAGTCACCAACTTCTTTCCGGCTTGCTTCCGCATATCAGGTTGCACCAAACTTATCTTAGAAGTCCAACTGGTGCTTTAGAAATAGATTTTCATAAAAGTGGATAGAAGAGGAAGGAAAGGGGAGGGCTTGTAGGTGCTCTTGGATTCATTGGCTGGGCTCCTGGAGCAAGCAGAATCTGAGTTGTCTTTCTCTCCTCCCCCTGCACCCCACCCCCCTCCCGCCTCACTAAAAAATTCTGAACCCAAGTGAGGACACTCATAAGTCGTCTTCTGTGGGTTTCCTCCTCAACCCTCTGGATCTGATTTAGCTTTGAAAGCAAAACCAACCAACCAAGAGGGACCCTGGTTCCTCCCTCTGCCCAGCTAGCTAAATCTCCTTAACAGCTGCTGCCAGAATTTGATGACTGAGCCCTTAATTAATGAATTGGTGCTTTCTTCCTGTTTGCACTATTGGATTTTTGAAAATAGATTTGATTTTCTTTTTCATCCTTGCTTCATTTAGGAAGTGAGATGAGGGAACTCGGCACAATGCAGGCTGGTATTGGGGGGGAGGCATTTGTAGGTCAGAAGGTGGGGATATCAAGAGGGAGAAATATATCTTGAAAAAGTTTTCAGTGAGGTGGACTTAAAGCCCAGCCTTTCATTGAATCTGTTCTGAATTGGGATATTGTAATAGTTACAAGAGGGCAACAGAAGCAGCCTTGCAAAATGAGGCCAGAGTGTTTGAGCAGCCCATGTGCAGTTAGTTCACTGTTAGCTCTAACTCTGGGACGCTGCTTCTTGTTTCATTTTCAATTCATTTATTTATTTGGACTTGTGAACCACCTGGTTTATGGATTTTGGGGAGATTATGACTTTGTTTTTCCCGGCCTCTGGAAAAATACCATTTTACTAAGAGGGGCCAATAGGAAACTACCAGGGAGGGCCCTTGGTTCATCAAAACATACACTCTTAGGGTTATATGTAGGTTAGATTTAATCTCTCTTTTGTGGTTTTACTAGACAAGTAAAAGGAGATAATTGTATAAATACTCCTTTTAAAAACATGCAGAAAAAGTCAGTCTGTAACACTGGTGCCTGGAGTTTTTTTTTTTTTCAGCCAACAGAAATATAGTCAGTCCCTTACACGCAACCCACACTGTTGGAACAAAATTCAATTGGAAGCCTCCTGTTCTAGTGGAAGGGATACTTGGATTTGGAGGCAGATGACGTGGGTTAGAAATCTGCTTACTACCTGTATAATTTTGGACAAGTCGCTTTATCTCTTTGGATCTCAGTTTCCTTATCTTTAAGTGAGGAGATTGTACTAGGTAATTCCTCAACTCCCAGCTCTAGGTCTATGTTTTTGTGTCTGAGTCTTAGGGCCATTAAGGACCCCATTAGTGATTTAGTATGAAGTGGTAAAAGTAAGGCGTTTGGTACTTGTAAAGCAAAGTATCATTGGGAGATTGGGTAAAGGACTTGGGAGAATGGCTTCCCACTAGTCTATTAATGCCTATGATGTAGGAAGTTCTATGGTACCTCTTTCAGGCCCTCAATATGTTTGATTTTTGCTTTATAAGCTATTTGTTATAGAAACAGAGTGGGGAGAGAGAGAGAGAGAGAGAGAGAGAGAGAGAGAGAGAGAGAGAGAGAGAGAGAGAGAGAGAGAGAGAGAGCGCTTGCCTTAGAGCTAGGAAGACTGAATTCAGAACCTGCCTTTGACCCATACTAGCTGTGTGACTCATATCAGCTTATTTGAGTGTTCTGGGCAGTCATCTAAGACTGTATGTTATGGAGAGAGTACTTACCTGTGTGGATCAAGGGCGACTTTTGTTTTGGAATCTCCAATGCCAATGAGCCACCTCACAGGTCCAGTCTTTATTCTGTTCTTGTCCTTGGCCTTAGTTATTTATTTGTCTGTGGTTTGTAAGTGTTCCTTCAACCAACACCTCCTCTCCATCCCCCAGTAGCTTGTAAACTGTTTGAAAGCAGGGGCTATGCCTTCATTAAGTTTTGTGTTTCGCTGTGTGCTGAGATAAGAAACATTTCATGGATGGATCTGGTAGTAAAATATTCCCCACTTTCTTCCCCTCTGCCCAAGTCTTTGCATGCTTACAGTAAAGTTTAGAATCCTCCCGTGTCTCTATACCAATTCCTCTATTACCAAGTATCTAATAAGCAGGTTTGTGTTTTGTATTGTTTTTTATTTATCTTGGATTGCCAGAAAATAGTGGACGGCATATATGTCCTAGATGTGATATTAACATATGAATAGGAGATGATACAGATGCGGAAACCAAAAAGCATTTGTCCTTCCTGAGAGTATGTCCTACAAATTAGGAGGCCCTTGCAATAGTCTAAGCCTGACATTCAGAATAAAGGGGAGTTTGT